CTTTTTTCTTTAGTGTTGTTTGTTGGGTACTTTTTGATGTAGCAAACTTGATGTGCTACTCAGCATTCCTAGAGACTTCAATATCGAAGTAGAATGAACGTTATTACAAAGAATGAATGTTATTACAAAGGGGCATTCATAGAGACTTCAATATCGAAGTAGAATGAATGTTATTACAAAGAATGAATGTTATTACAAAGGGGATTGATTTTTTATGAGTATTAGCTTTGAATTTTGTTTTGAGATATCATAATACATTTACAATAAGTAGTCCTTATGCTGTTCTAATCTTCTAGGTGCGTTTTGGTTTTACCTTTTATATAGTGTAAATGTTGGTTTGTGTGAGTGAGCTATTTGGGAATAAAATTTATATTGCATAAAAAAAATTTACATATATTTTTATATATATAAAAACATTGAAGTTCATATTGAAAGATCTATTATTAAATATTGAATTCAAACATATCAAATATTATTCTAGTATATTTCTTACAAACACGTAGTGCAAATCTGTACTTATATTAAAAGGAGTCCTATTTACCGAATTTAGTAGTTAGAAAAGTCAACAACATTTATTGTCATTACTATTTACGTATTATACAATTTTATGTAATATTTATTTTTTTGTTACGATTTTTAAAAACAGATATGATCAAATTCTCTCATCATTAATTACAATTTATTTATTTATTATTTTCTTAGCAAAAACGAATCAACATTAATTGATTTCTTTAAAATGTGGAAGTTGTTGCTTTATTTTTGTACAGAAAATTGGGCTTACTTATAGAAATTTGTTCAATTACACAATGAATTTGCTATGATATAATTATTGTTTACGGGAATTTTTTTTTTTAACAGAAAAATATGACATTTCAATAAGATTTTCGATTTTTAAGACTTATTGTTATCATGCTATGAAATTGAACATTCCAATATACCTTAACAAAATATACACGTGGTGTATACATCAGTTAATAGAAATATAGAATCATCATATTTTTATATATATATATATATATGTAATTTTTCTATTACCAAATTTAATTGATAGTTGTTGTGTTATGGGTTTTTCATAATTGTTACTTGGTTGTTGTGATATTTAGTTTGGTTGGTGTCGCAAAAATTCTAATCTATATATATAATAAGAACAATCATTACAATGCAAATTAGAAAAACATTGATATTAGAAGAGATTGAGTTCATAATTTTTATTAAATCAAAGTTGTTTAGTTAGTATACAAAATTAAATTCTAAAAAAATATATGTGTATATTTTGTACATTATTTATACACTATTTAATTTTAAATTTATTTACATATTTTAAATTGATTACTTAAATAAATAATACCAACGTGCATTAAATATATTTCATTACATAAAATAAAAAGAACAAGAAGACGTGCAACTTCTATAACTTTATAAATAATAATGACATTATATGACAACAGAGTTTAATAATTAACTACTATATAGTGAATAAGAATAAGTAAAATTGTTATCTTCTCTTATATCAATGAATAAATTTATATTAGTATAAATGTGTTAGTGAGATAATATATTAATTATTTTATAAGTTAGCCCTAACATACTCACGTTTAATGTTCTGACTAATAAAACAATGCTGATTAAAAGATGTGAAAAATAGATTAAAACTCTATTTTTTTAAGACTTGACGGTGATTAAAAGAGGTGGAAAATGGATGATAACTCTTTTCAGACTTAAACGGGACTTAACGGTGATTAAAATAGGTGGAAAATGGATAATAACTCTTCTCAGACTTAAACGGATAGAGTCTATAAAAATAATTCATTTAATATCTCTCTCCCGTGCATCGCACGTGGTACGTACTAGTGTTCTATATAAATATTGAACAACAAGAATAAAAAAAAATAAAAAATTGAACAACATGACTCATAATTTAGTTTAAGTTATATCCAATAAGATTCATAATTTAATTTAATTTAAGAAATCAAAAGATAACGATATAATAAGTCATTAATTTAACTTAATATTTATCTCAAAGTTATTATTATTATTTTAATTTTTAATTTTTATATAAGAACATGACCTTATTCTATTAGAAACATAATTATATATATATTTTCTTATACTTTAAAGTATAATTTTTCGTTGATGCGAAAATAGCATGAAGTGGCGTTAGAAACAAAAAAGAACTGCAAAATAAACAACTAGCGCAAGTTTTTCACACAAAACGTAGCATTTTAAATCTACAATAAAATCTCGTTAAATTAATACTCGATAAATTAATAACCTCGCTAAAATTAATAATTTGTCCGGTCCCAAGTTGGGACCAGTAAAAATTTGGGACCCAATCAATAAAATTATAAAATAATAATTTTTCTGCGATCTCAGTGTATATATATTGGTCCCGACGAAATTATAAATTAATAATTATTAAAAATAATCTACATATATATATATATGATGTGGTTCAAATGAGAACCAAGTCCTACCGTCCTAGCGTGAGAACCGTGAGAACCGCTATTTTTAATTGTAGGTAGTGCTATAATTGATTGTATTTTAGCGTTATTTTAACATAGATGTATTTTATAAAAAATAGCAACACAATTTATATTAGCATATATGAAAATGACAACACAATGTGATATTAAAAATAGCATCATACACAACTAAAAATAACATCAAATATATTTCTCAGGGTTATTATACCAAGACTAGTTTTTATTTGAACCAACCTCTATATATATATATGATGCACTTGAAGATTCTTAAGATAACTTAGTAAAATAAGAATCTCCTGTAACTTTCTTTTTTCTTGAACTTCAAATCTATGTTGATCCCATCTTTAAATCTCCTTACTGCACCCGATAGTTGTGGCGTTGTCTTCTCGTACTGTAACAAAAAGTTATAAAAAGTTGTTGATGCTTGCAATGTTTCTTTTAGAGTGATCGGTTGCAAAGCTATTGAATCATCCTCTGCTTCATCATCTTCCGGATTATGAATGACATCGGCCACTATCTCTTCTAGACTCTGAACTTCGTGACATTGATTATTTTCACCCGGAAAAGTCGAGCAACTGATTCACATCCATTTCGTGGTGATAATGCATATCGATTATTACATTCTCAAGCTCAAAAATGTCTTCTCCATGAGTTGCATCATTTTCACTCGAGTCACTTTGATTTTCCGAGCGAATTTTGCAGTGTCGAAAGCAATTTGCTATTGCTTCTTGATAAACATATTCGGTCCAAGTTGATACTGCCATATTGATAGCATCTAGAACATTGATCTTTTCTAGAGATGGTATGTCTAACTCATAGCCTTCCAAAATATTACGGTAAAATCTTTTGCGGTAATACGTTGATTTTTGAATCCTTTTAGATGAGTGACCATTTTTGTGTGTGATTTATCAAGATTTCAATGGATAAATATAAAGTGCTGACTTCTATCCATGATTCAATGCACAAATGTTAGTCCAATGAACCATATTTTTGTATTTTCCAAAACCAATTAATTTAAACAACCCATTCAAACTTCCACGTGAGTTTGTGTACATGGAATTATACCAGTACATTTGTATTTTAACTTAATATTCATCAATAACTATGCATGTATACTTAAAGTTATTAAAAGAATTTGGAACTTTGAAGGTCAACTATGCATATACATTAAAACCTCTTTAAATTATTAAATTATTAATTTATTGATATAATAATATCTTTATAAATTAATAAAATCATCCGATCGCAACATTATTACTATAGAGAGGTTTCTGTATAATTTTAAACGCAATGGGCTACACTACCATATGCGTATATCTAATTGGATAAGTGTAAGCCCAATACAGGCTCATATTATTGATACGGTTCTTGTAAGGCCCAAATAAGGAGATTTATAATCTAGGGTTTTCTTCTTCCGCAAACCCCACACAGCGAAAAGCTTCATCCTTTACTCGCAGCAAAATCAAGTTCCTTCTCTCTCTATCTTTGTTTGTTCAGATTCCTATTAGTCTGTAATTTTTTCATCTGTGTGCGTGGTAAGGGTATTCAAAGCTTGTATCTTTATTGGACGCCGTCTCCTGTATTTACCATATTTTTATAAAGTTATGCATTTGGATCTGAATTTATAGTGATTTTTTCGGCGTCAATTGATGTTCATCTTCTGTAACTTTACTCTTTTCTCTCCGTCTGTTGGTGATTATTGGATGCAGGTTTCTTCCTTGCTAGAGCTTGCGTTGATTTCTTCCTTACGAGGCTCAGAGAATTTTATTGTTGAGAAAATCATGTCGATGTCATCTAAGTTTTGGACTCAGCAGGTCTGTTTGCTATCAATTCAATTAGTAAATTATATTTCAAGATCAGTTTTTTCTTTCAATTTGTCCTGATTATATTAATTGAGCAAATTGGATTCTTTGCCTGAGACCTCAGTATCATCCCGCCCGTGCTTTTGTTTTCTCTGGGGGTTAATTAAATCGTTCTTAGTTTCCACTAATGGAATCTGAATCTCTGAAAATACATGCTTGTAGTACTGTTGTCCAGTTAAATTTAGTCGTAAACTGATCCACCTGATAGATCCCATAAAAATCCAAAATACATGCTTGTAGTACTGTAGTCCAGTTAAATTTAGTCGTAAACTGATCCACCTGATAGATCCCATAAAAACTCCGCCTATGTTGTCTCAACATAGCCGTTCTATGGAGATGAAACACATGAGAAATTGTGTTTCTTTTACCGATGGTTCTCTTGGGTTTCATCTCTAGCCTACCCCGACTTGCTTGGGACTAATGGCTATGTTGTTGTTGTTGTTGTTTCCTAATACTTTCCAGGATGATGAGAGTGAGACTGAAGAGGAGGCAAGTGAATATGACGAGCAGGAAGAAAATGACACTGCTGACCAGCAGACTTCTGCTAAGCCCGTGAGTAAATACATAATATCCCAAGACAGCGACAGTGATGACTCAGACGGGCAACGCCGAGTTGTCCGACGAGTCAAGGACAAGCGCTTCGATGAGATGGCGGCCACTGTTGACCAGATGCGCAATGCAATGAAGATCAACGATTGGGTGAGCCTCCAGGAGAGCTTTGAGAAGATCAACAAGCAGCTGGGCAAGGTGATGCGGGCCACCGAATCTGACCGGGCCCCTGGCCTCTACATCAAGGCCCTTGTAATGCTCGAGGACTTCCTCAACCAGGCCCACGCCAACAAGGAGGCCAAGAAGAAGATGAGCACCAGCAATGCCAAGGCCCTAAACTCCATGAAGCAGAAGCTCAAGAAGAACAACAAGCTTTATGAGGACCTAATCAACCAGTGCCGGGAGAAGCCCGAGCTTTTCGAGGAGAAGCCGGATAACGAGCCTGAGGATGATGAAGATGACGAGGATGATGATGGGGATGATGATTTCGACGAGGACCCTGCGGCCCTTGTTTCAGAGGAGAGTGAGGATGAAGACGAGCCTGATAAGGATGATGGGCCGAGTGGGCCTGGGTGGGAGAAGATGCTGAGCAAGAAGGATAAGATGATGGACAAGCAGTTCAAGGACCCTAGTCAGATCACGTGGGACATTGTGAACAAGAAGTTCAAAGAGGTTGTGGCCGCCAGGGGTAAAAAGGGGACAGGGAGGATGGAGCTGATCGAGCAGCTCACTTTTCTGACCCGGGTTGCTAAGACGCCAGCTCAGAAGCTCGAGATTCTCTTCAGTGTTGTCTCTGCACAGTTTGATGTGAACCCAGGCCTGAGCGGGCACATGCCAATCAATGTCTGGAAACAGTGTGTGCAGAACTTGCTTCTGATACTGGATATCCTGACTCAGTATCCGAATATCGTGGTTGATGATATGGTGGAGCCTGATGAGAACGAAACCCAAAAAGGTGCGGACTTTAATGGTACGATTAGGATCTGGGGAAATCTGGTGGCGTTTCTTGAGAGGATAGATGTGGAGTATTTTAAGAGCCTTCAGGTTATTGATCCGCACACACGTGAGTATGTCGAGAGGCTCAAGGACGAGCCCTTATTTCTGATTCTTGCTCAGAATGTCCAGGAATATCTTGAGCGGGTTCGTGATTTCAAGGGTGCTTCTAAGGTTGCCCTCAAACGAGTTGAGCTTGTGTATTATAAGCCACAGGAGGTGTATGATGCTATGAGGATACTAGCCGAGCTGGATAGTAGGGAAGCATCTGAGGAAAATAAAGCTAACGAGGAAGGTAAAGGTCCTCCAGCTTTTGTTCCCACCCCTGAGCTTGTTCCTCGTAGGTCCACTTTTCCGGAAAATAGCAGGACTTTGATGGATATCCTTGTCTCCCTTATTTATAAGTATGGAGATGAACGGACTAAGGCTCGTGCAATGCTTTGTGATATATACCACCATGCAATTTTGGATGAATTCTCCACGTCTCGGGACTTGTTGCTCATGAGTCACCTTCAGGACAACGTTCAACACATGGATATTTCTACCCAAATACTTTTCAACAGGGCCATGGCACAACTTGGTTTGTGCGCTTTCAGAGTGGGACTTGTTACTGAAGCCCATAGTTGTCTCTCTGAATTGTATTCAGCTGGAAGGGTGAAGGAACTGCTGGCCCAGGGTGTCTCTCAGAACAGGTACCATGAGAAGACTCCGGCACAGGTATTATCTTTTTTTCTTTTTCACAACTAGAGTGCATGAGTTTATAGTATGTGGGTGATCTATGATTTTATATTTGTCAATTTTTTCTTTAGCTTATTTTTCGATTTAAGTGTACTCCATCCTTGCTTCTTATAAACGAACTGGGGCTTATTGAAATACTTTTGATTTTGGTAAATTATTATTGCATATATATTCAGGGATAAATAGAAAAGTACGCTATTGGTTTGACTTAATATCTCATTAAACTAGTACCAAAGTTTATTTTCTAAACAGATCCTTCCTTAGAGTGTGCAATCTATAATAACAAATGCCACATGCTATTAGTCATAGAAATAATTCTGGTGAACTTCATTTTCATGTAACAATGAGTAAAGTTGTGTAATTTTTAATGTGCTGCTTTTGAAATTTTAAAAACACATCTGCGCAAACTTTTTACATAATCTAGACAAATATCTCCCTCTTGCACGTCCAATTTATAGAGTAGAAACCAACATCAACTTGGTCATCTGGTGTATGAAATATTGAAAGTCGGCAGAAGGCTTTTCTTATCAGACTAGATTTCCATGAGGTTATTCCCTTTGTTTATTGACAAGGGTATAGGCTACTAGTGCTAAATTTTCCCATTAGTTGTTAAAAGTGATTGGAATTCTTAATCGACTTTTGGCCTCTCGATAAATTTGTGTTATTTCATTCCAGGAACGTCTGGAGAAAAGACGCCAAATGCCCTACCACATGCACATAAACCTGGAGCTCCTAGAAGCAGTGCACTTGATATGCGCAATGCTCCTTGAGGTCCCGAACATGGCTGCCAATATCCACGATGCCCGGCGAAAAGTCATCAGCAAGAACTTCCGCAGGCTGCTCGACGCTAGCGAACGCCAGACCTTCACGGGCCCGCCCGAGAATGTCCGGGACCACATCATGGCCGCCACCCGGGCCCTCAGGCAGGGCGATTTTGACAAATCCTTCTCGGTCATCAACTCCCTCGACATCTGGCGACTGCTTAGGAACAAGGATCACGTGCTCGGCATGCTCAAGGCCAAGATCAAGGAAGAAGCCCTCCGAACATATCTCTTCACCTACTCCTCGTCATATGACTCGATCAGCCTCGATCACCTGTCCAAGATGTTTGACCTCACGGAAGCCGAGACACGTAGCATAGCGAGTAAGATGATGATCAACGAGGAGCTGCATGCCAGCTGGGACCAGCCGACTGGATGCATCGTGTTCCACGAGGTGGAGCACACCAGATTGCAGGCGCTGGCGTTCCAGCTCACCGAGAAGCTCACCATCCTGGCCGAGACCAACGAGCGGGCCATAGAGGCCCGTTTAGGTGGGGTCTCTCTCGAGGGTGGTGGACTTTCGGTCAGGCGCAAGGATGGGCAGGACTCGGTAGGCGGGGCCAGTGGCAGGTGGCAGGAGTTTTCATTTTCTGGTGGCCGCCAGGGGAGCAGCGGTGGTGGTAGGCAGGGTTATAATAATGCTGGCGGCAATCGGGGAACGGGCTCGGGCCTTGGCGGAGGAGGTTATAATAGGGATCGTCAGGGAAGGACGGGTCGTTACCAGGGCTCGAGGAATCAGGATGGGCCAGGCCGGGCTTATCAGACGGGCCTGGGTGCCAGGGGCGGCCAGATGGACGGGTCGACCCGGATGGTTAACCTGAACAGGGGCTCGTATGTGAGCTAGGAAAAGAGGATTTTTGTTTTTCAGTAGCATTTGTGTTTTGTTTTTTTTTTGGGTTTTGTTACTGATTTGCTTGAAATCAGTTACTATTTTGAGATTATTTGACTTTTTTGTGAAAGGATTGAAACTTGGTGGCCTGCTGGCCTTGTTCTGTTATAACTTCCATTTTTTATTTTATTTTTGGATCGACTTTACTCTGTGTTTGATTGCTTGTTTAATTCTCCTTCTTCAGTAAGTGTAACTATTCATCAGATAATAACACCTAGTAACTTGGTTGTAATTATGAAAAAAGAAAAAAAAACTTGATCTAGTTAAGATGAGCTTTATCATCAGTAACACAATAGTATATCTTAAGCTAATCATTTTCATCGGAAATTTGTTCTATAAACAATCTAATCATTCTTTTGTAAGAAAAAAGAGAGCATACAAATTACAGTCTCAAATTTTTCATCTCTCCAATTACCCTTCTCTGTTTCTCTATATCTTTTTACCTATCACATGTAAAAATTCAAAAACACCAGAATGCAACAGAAAATGAAACAGTTGATAAAATCTTGCTCCATTTCCTATCCCTTTGTAATGAGGTTCCTCCATATAATCGCCGTAACTAACAGACCTGCACCAGGAGAATATCCAAACATGTTAGTTTATCTTTAACTCAGAGAGCTTCGCACTCAGACGAGCGATGAATCGAGCCCAGTAATCTGTACGTCTTTTATTCCATCGACGGAAAACAATAAAGCCATAAATTCAAATACCTGCTAATTCCACCTCTGGAGACCATTTTCCAGTGCTAAATGCACCGGACTTTACTGCATGCAATTTATACAAACCCCAGTTAAAAAATCTCAACACAACAAAAAACAATTCAACAAAACTAGGTTTATCAGTCTTAATTACATTACCTGAATCACAATTGGAAGTCGAATTCCAGCTCCCACACATGCACAAATCCCTATTCCCACCAATCTCATAGCCACAAAATCCACCGGTAGCTTCGCAGGCCCGACAAAAACTCTCACTACCCTGCACATTATACTTAACTTGAATCCCATAAGCCCACTGGCCCGGCCCGCTAACCCTCAGCGGCGCCAGGCTGTAAGCGCTGCTGTACCCTTGGCATTCAAGACTCGACAAATTCACACTCCCAATCGACTCATACGGCACCGCACAGCAATCCGGTGGGCCCGTTTCATAAACGGGCCCTCCCCTGCTCAGCCCAAATGCGTCCCAAGCAGGGCACCCGTAATACTCCTCACACCCGAGGCCCGAAACATTCCTACACGGCGAGCTGTTCTTCCTCGGGAAGCCCTGAAACAGGGGAGACCTTGCTGAGCAGCCCAATAACATGAACACATTGTCGGTTGTCGGGCCCAAGTAACGGGCCCGCCAAGGCTCGAGGACGAACCCGTTTCCCCGCCCACCGTAAGCGAGCGAGTCGCAAGTGGACATGTGGGGTTCGTGCAGGACGAGTAGCCCGTACGCGTAGTCTATGTCGAGGACTCGATACGAGCCCGAGCTAATGTGGAGCATTAAAACGTCGTTTATGCAGAACAAGAGGTCACGGAAGGCCGAGTGGCCGCAGCCAGGATGGAGGGCAAAAGGGTAATTTACCGTTAGGTTTCCGCAAAACGAGCGGCATGTATCAGCGTGGCCGGAGGGGTGAGCCGAGGGAATTAATGCATGTAATGTGATGAGTAGAGTGGATAAGAGGAGGCAAGCCATGGATTGATTGATTGATTGATTGATTGATAGGGATAAAAGTAGTGTTATGGGTATGGGAGTGAAGAGTGGAAGTGTTTGGTTTGTGTGATAAGGAATGGATTGGAGATACTTTGCTTGGGAAGTTTGTAAAATTGTTTAGAAAATATGTATATATTAATTGTGAACGGAACACTTTTTTTTTTTTTCTCTCTCTCTTTAATATTCACAATTTGTGTCTCTTANCATCTAATCATTCATCTTTCCATGATAAGATGGCTAGATTTTGAATTTAAAGGTATATATATTTTGAAAATTGACAATATTAGAGTTAAAATGGTACAAAAAAACCGAATCACTATTCACTACAGCAATCGTTGTTGAATGAAAATACAATCCATTATAACTAGCATTGATGTAGCCAACTATATTAGCTCATTATGGAGTATAGTTTTCGATAATGACTCGGGTTTATGGAATGAGGTCGATATGAGATCAGTCTTTAAGGAGGTAAGGCGCGAAATAGGGTCTTCGAATTCCAATGACCTGATCATGCTATATAATAAGGAAGTAAATCGAGTTGACCTGCTCATGCTATATTTTAACATCGGAGTATTTATACTGGGAGTCGATTTAAAGTCGAGAGTCCGATTCCTGTTGTGGTTATTATTATTATTATTATTATTTGGTATTGTCGATTTTTGCGGTTCGACACGATTTTTCACAGAACTACTCGTTGCTCACTCACTCCTAATTGTTTCCTAATGAGTCTATATTTAAAAATTGCTTTTAAAATTTTAGCACATATCAGGATATTTATTACTAGCTCTACATAACAGATTCTTTGTTCAAACAAATGAAAACAATTAACATGTTGTAACGTATTGATTGACAAATTGACATATTGTTTTGTGAGCTTATAATTTGGTCCAAACCAAATTCATGAAATTCCTCGTCTTTGTTTATACATGACAAAATGATTCAATGCACTTGACCGTGTTGGTAAAGTCAAATAACATACTTATATTCAGGATTAGGTTTAAGTTTTTATTTTAATTTATAATGTAAGTATTAACTAGTGGAGCTATAAATAAAATTTCGCTAGCGTGTTACTTACAAGCCCGGATCAAGTTGCTTCTTTCTCAAGGAGGATATTATCTAACTGCGCAACTATTGCTTCGTTTTGTATACGTACGTACCTCATGAATCTTTTGCGTGTGAATTTCTTGAAAGAAGTTATGAGACTTCTTATAATTTTCATTTTGTAATTTATGAATAATTATTATTCAGCCCATACCTACTCTGCCAAAATCACAATTCAACCCCTTCAATTTCATCGTGCCGTCGATTTTTTTAAACTATTGCTGCATGTGGCGTTAAAAAAAATGATTTTCACTTACGTACGACGCTCCAACATGGGCGGCTAATTATGTATGTTAATATATTCCAACTATCAATTATTCAAAAAGTAAATAGTTATCATATTATACTTATTACGACATTTGACTATTACTAATCACCATCCAGAAAAATTATAGGTTTTAACTAATTAATTAATCACAAACGTTCAGTTATTGAATGTCAGCTGTACAAATGTTGGTATTAATTAATTTTGTGATACATAATTTTTCATATTAAGTTATATCAATTGGTCTTGTTTTGAATCAGCCAACCTTTCGTGTACTTATTAATCTTTAATTATCATTTAGCATAATATTATCATAACTAACACACTTATATATCTCTCTATATATACACACATTCACATGATTAAGGGATTAATAGTACCAGGCTGCATTGAATGTGTTGCATCCTATATTGCTTGGACACACACACACACACACACATATATATATAGATATATAAATACTTTCTCTTTAATTTTGACCTTCACATAAATATAGAGGAATTAATTAAGGTGAAAAAAGAAAATGGTGTTACTCCATGGAGATCTGCATGCAACAATATATGAGATTGATGAGCTTCATCATCGACTTCTTGCCAAATTTTTTCATAAGGTAACTTTCTTTTTTCCTAAAAGAGAAGGCACTGCTTTTTAGTTTTGTGTAAATTAATTGCACATTACACCCGTGACTTGGAGCAGGTGACAATTTTATTCAGTAACTTCTTTGACCGCTACACAAAATACCCACTAATTAATCAGAATATCGCAAATACATCAGTTACTGCACAACTTTTAGTTAGCATATATGTAGTTATTTCATAGTTTTTACTTGAGTTTTGCATTTGGGGCATGTTGTGCTCGATTTTCGTGGTATTTTCTGCAATAGCAAATGTTACTGAGCAAAATTATTATTTGACCGACGTTAATCGATATATTTTGCAATTTTTCAATGTTTTTGTGTTTGATTAATATCCTTTCTACACGGCTATATTATTACCCGCAGTTTGCCACTTAAATATGTAGAGCTGAGGTAGAGATAGATTAGTGATGTAAATCCATTTTATATTTGTTTGTGTATTTGATCGATACCCAGCCTCATGTGGTGATTTGTTTGATGATGTGTTTTGGCTGCTAATTAATTTCATATTGTCGATTAGCTGTTAATCAACATTGAAAGTGTTTGTCAAGTTTCAAATAATTACCTCTAACCATATTTTATTTGCCTTAGAAAATATAATCGAATTGGTTTTATCTAGCTGTGATAAACATTGATGACAATCACAACCATCGAACGTCATACTTTTATTAGAAGAATGCACATTTATAATCTGTATGTTGGCCTAATAGTTAGACTAGCCTGGGCTTACAAAAGACTTGTCGTTGCACAAATGTAGGTAGCGCAAGGCATCGAAAAAGCAATAGGCTTCGACAAGTCGGCTTCCAAGCTCTACGCAACAATCGACCTCGAAAAAACCACGGTGGCTCGCACTCGAGTCATCGAGCCCCGACACTCGAACCCGAGCTGGCACGAATCTTTCCACATCTACTGCGCTCACACGGCCTCCAAACTCTCGTTCACCCTCAAAGTCAACAACCCCATCGGAACGCACCTCGTCGGACGAGCTTACATTCCGGTCGATGACCTAATTCACGGCGATGAAGTCGACCGGTGGCTCGAAATCCTCGACCACCACCACAAACCGATACACGGCCACTCCAAACTCCACGTGAAGCTACAATTCTACGACGTCACGCGCGAACGATGCTGGTCGCACGGGCTAAAGAGCGCCAACTTCCCGGGCGTTCCCTACACATTCTTCCCACAACGAAAAGGATGCCGGGCGACTCTATACCAAGACGCGCACGTTCTCGACAATTTTATTCCAAAAATACCCTTACGCGGCGGGAAGCACTACGAGCCGCATAGGTGTTGGGAGGACATCTTCGACGCGATATCCGAATCGAAACATTTGATTTACGTGGCCGGATGGTCGGTCTACACAGAAATCAAACTAATACGCGATACTAAAAGGCTGAGGCCCGGTGGAGGAGATAATATTACACTCGGCGAGCTACTCAAGAAGAAGGCCGACGAGGGGGTTCGGGTTTTGATGCTCGTGTGGGACGACCGGACGTCGGTCAAGCACTTGAAGAAGGACGGCGTGATGGCCACGCACGATGAGGACACGGGAAGCTATTTTCGCGGGACGAACGTGCATTGCGTGTTGTGCCCTCGTAATCCGGACGACGGCTCGAGTATCGTTCAAGGCTTACAAGTGGACACTATGTTCACCCATCACCAGAAAATCGTGGCCGTCGATTCCCGATTGCCGAGCGGAGATGAAACGACGAGGAGGAGAATCGTGAGCTTCATAGGCGGCATAGATTTATGCGACGGGAGGTACGACACGCAAAGGCATTCGCTATTCGGGACGCTTGCCTGGCCCCACTTTGACGATTTTCATCAGTCGAATATTCGTGGGGCGAGCATACAAAAAGGCGGTCCTCGGGAGCCGTGGCACGATATCCACTGTCGGCTCGAAGGACCGGCCGCTTGGGACGTGCTTTATAATTTCGAGCAGAGGTGGCAGAAACAGGGCGGAAAGGACGTTTTGCTGCCGCTTGTCGAGATGTCGAACGTTTTCATCCCACCTTCACCGGTCACATTCCCCGATGACCACGAGACGTGGAATGTTCAGGTGTGTTCTTATTTTATTTAATTTTATTTTACCCGAATTTCATTCGGATAATCGTGTTGTTAATCAAAATCTTCTTGCTTGTTTTTGTTCATTCAAGGTGTTCCGGTCGATCGATGGTGGTGCGGCTTTCGGTTTCCCTGACTCACCCGAGCAAGCGGCCAAGTCCGGATTAATAAGCGGCAAGGACAACATCATCGATCGAAGCATACAAGACGCCTACATTCACGCTATCCGGCGTGCGGACAAGTTCATCTACATCGAGAATCAATACTTCGTGGGGAGCTCGTTTTCGTGGGGCTCAAACGATATCAACGATCAAGAAGTGGGGGCACTAAGCCTGATTCCGAAGGAGATTTCATTGAAAATCGTCAGCAAAATCGAAGCTCGTGAGGAATTTAAGGTTTATGTGGTGATCCCGATGTGGCCCGAGGGGTACCCGGAGAGTGGGGCCGTGCAAACGATTTTGGGTTGGCAGAGGAGGACTATGGAGATGATGTACGTCGACATAGCAAAAGCGCTTAAGGCCAAGGGTATAAAAGACGATCCTAGAAATTATTTGACGTTCTTTTGTCTCGGGAATAGGGAGACGAAGAAGAATGGAGAGTACGAGCCTCCACGAAAGCCTGTAGCCGGCACGGATTACTTTAGAGCTCAAGAGGCTAGGAGGGGTATGATTTATGTCCATGCCAAGATGATGATTGGTAATTTCTTTTTTTTTTCGTTAAAAATCGATACATTTTGTTTGAAAAGAGTCGGAATATCCTTAACCATGATTGGCTCGCTCGTGTGCAGTTGACGATGAGTACATAATCATAGGCTCGGCAAATATCAACCAGAGGTCGATGGATGGTGCTCGGGACTCGGAAATCGCGATGGGAGCCTATCAGCCATATCATTTGTCCTGTAAGCGTAATAAACCGGCCAGAGGTCAAATTCACGGTTTTCGCATGGCGTTGTGGTACGAGCACGTGGGCCAGCTGGACGATGCCTTCTGTTATCCCGAAAGCTTAGAGTGTATTCGAAAGGTGAATCGAATTGCGGAAAGGAATTGGAGCTTGTACACGAGTGAGACTTTGGAACATGATTTGCCAGGACATTTGCTTAGATACCCGATTGGAGTCACGTCAGATGGTAGAGTTGTCGAGCTTCCTGGGGCAGAGCTTTTCCCGGATACTAAGGCACGAGTGCTTGGCTCGGGAACTGAGTTCTATCCGCCGATCCTCACTACTTAGTAATAATAATGCCACAATCCAATGAGTTGCATCATATTGACTGATGAATGATAAATGAAAATCTGGATTGCTNAAAAAAAAAAAAAAAAGTTAGTCTATAGTATTATTAAGCTAAGCACACCAGCTAGCTACTCTACCTGCCACAAATTTATCAATTTCTGTTAATTTATTGTATAATTTGCATTAACATGATCTGAAATGATCTTCATTTCTACCCATTTAATTTAGTTTTTATCAGGTTGCTGTTCTGTTGTATTGGATGCAGCCAAAATGTCACCTACACAATAACTTGTTTTATCATTAAACACTCTATTATTGTTGACGGTCATGTTCAATTAGACAAATTCCAGAAACCAAATGCACTAACCCCAACAAAAATTTCATCATTCACACATTTCACAAGTAAATGTTACTTTCATTGACTTACTCTATAAATAGTGTAAATAAGTGTAACAACTTTCATCAACAAAATCTTATGCTAGAGAGTGGTCTGAAAATTGTGAGCTCTGTCTGAGAGAGAGCGAAAGAGGGAGAGAGAAGGCCAAAAACAAAAGGAAAAAGGAAAAAGAACAATAACATTAACAGAAAGAGAGTGGTCATAAGACTAATTGAGAGAGGGAGAGAGAGAGATGGTTTATGCTGCTTTGGCTTCTCTTAAACAGACAGTACAAAGCCTGCTCAATGATTGGGATCACGTATCAATTTCACATCCGTCACGAAACCTCCTATGTTTTGTATACGAGGAGGAGGCTCAGTTCATACAAGGAGAGTTTTGGGACATTGTCTTGAAATGTTTGAATTAGCTGACTGCAACATGCATGTTGTGGGACTATGCCAAGAGATTGCAAGAGGCTTACAGTTCCATCAAACTTTGTTGTCCACTTTTTGTGGGAGAAAAAAAATGTAAAAACAAAAGTAAATCATAAGTTATTTTTAGCTGTTAATAATTCTATGGAAACATATATCTTTTGGAGTTTCAATTGCATTTTGTTCATCCATCTGTAATATTTTCTCCGCTTTGTTTTCAATTCAGTAGACATAATACTGCCTACAAATTATTTGCTACAAGTAGAAATACTGACTACATATTCATGAGTTTATGTATGATGTAAGGCTAAAAGAGCTGTTGTGGCTTGTTAACTGTAATTTGTTTCAGGCCAAGTGCTGTAGCCGATACAACTGAAAGTAAGTCACTGAGTTGAAGAAAGACTTATATTGATAGGCACCCGAACAATTAGTATTCGAGATTACGAAAGACTTGGAGCCTTTTCATTCCAAGAAGAGGAAATGTGGAGTTGAAAAAACTCTTCCTTTCCCTTATGTAATCCCATTACTGATGCCACTAACAAAGAGTTGCAGTCAACTACTTCAATTCTATGAAGCAATGCACGAAACAGTTCCCGTGGGAACTCCCGCAATTTGTAGCAGTGCTTTATTATCAGACGGCGAAGTTATTTGAAGCTGTTGTGCCCGACATTCCACTCCACCACATCAGAATCCTCAATGAGAAGGAAATTAAGCATCGGGAATGCATCGCGCCCCGTCTCCCACTTGAGACCACGAAAGGCGTAGCAACGCAGTTTGAGCACTTTTAAGTTGTCCATTCTACCAATCTCGCTCATGTCTCGCCAGGGGAACCCAAGCCCCGTTAAGCTCAACTTTTGGAGATGTGACGAGAATGTTCTGTAATAATCGAATAAAGGGCGAGCCGCAAGTTGACATCCGAGGTTAGGATTCAAGACGACACATTTAAGTGATTCCACCTTGTGGAGATGGGACATTTCGAATCGAAAGCAGCACGAGCCCACGGTAGGCTTCCATTCGATCCGAATTCCCAATTTCTTGAGTTTCGGGATTCTTTCTAGAATCCTCTCAGTACAACTGCGAATGCTAACATCCGAAAGTGTTAGGAGGTTAGGTAAGAGAGAGTCATTGCACGGCGGAGCCGGCAGGTCAAATCCCGTGACCTGAAGATGCTTCAGTTCTTTCATGTCCCATATATCCACAGGCAGAAAAGGCTCTGCTCCAACTGATGATTTTTTAATGAACAGATAACGGCCGACGATCAAGGACTCAAGGTTGCGGAGTTTGGACACAGTGCCAGCTGGGATCTCCTGGTCACAAGTGAGTGCAAGGTACCTAAGGTGGACTAGCTTCGATACTTCCACCGGAAAACGGTAAAAACGAACAGTATCAGCATCTACCACCCTTAACAGCCTTAAACGGTCGAAACATATCGGCACTGGATACATATGAGGCGGCCCCACGCAAAGGAGAGAATGCATTGTTGAAACGGACTCCATCGAGTTACGCACATCTTTGATGCCGAATAAAACGCTTTTACCAACGGACAACCGGCGCTGACCTTTTATATCTTCCCCAAAACCTTCACCATAACTACTCAAGATATGCAGAAACTTGGCCTTCTCAGCTTCTCGCGTGCTTATATGCCAGAAGGCAGAATGGAGGGCGCAAGTCTTTATCCTGACAGGTTCCTTGAAGTAGCTACTATAGGAGCTCTTCTGGGGATTTATAACCAAAGAATTAGAAACGAGGCCCGCCAGGCATCTCGAGGCAAGATTTTCCACGGTTTGGGATGTGTCGGGTTGTAGAAATCCCTCGGCACTCCATAACTTGATTAGTTTGGAGCCGGGGATCTTGATATTTTCCGGAAAGACACCCATATATAGAAAGCATGCTTTCAGGTGTTGAGGTAAGTAGTAATATCTCGGGTAAAGTATCCTCGACATCATCTCATACGCATCCTTGAAAACCGAGTGTTGTTTCTCGGCCACCTTCTTCCAATACTCCAATGTCTTCTCGGCTTTGGACAGCATGCCGCCAACTGTGACGATCGTTAGAGGAAGGCCTTCACAGCTCACAGCTATCATTTTTCGATATTTCTCCAGTTGTGGAGGGCACTTTTCTCCATCACCAAAAACCTTCTCGCAAAGAAGCTCCCAACTTTGTTCTTTACCCAGCAACCGTATTTCGTGATCATTAGTAAACAGAGCTACATCATGCAGCCTAGTTGTCTGCAAGACCCGACTTCCGTTTTTGTCATCCGAAAACGATGATGTCAACTGGCTACAAACCTTTCTGTCCCATACATCGTCCAAAATGATTAGATACCTTCTGCCCTTCAAACTTCTGCATAGAAAAGAAGCTATTTTCATATCTCCTTCCGGAAGTATTTTATCGTGACCACTGGGATTGATCTGAGCAAGAAGAGATAGCATAACGTCTCTGTATACATATTTCGGGCCTATATTGACCCACACACAGCAATCATATTCGCCGGATACATCTTCGTAAACTTCTTTAGCAACCGCGGTCTTACCTATGCCAGCCATGCCAACAATCGTGACCACTTTTCTACTTTCATGCCACGGCCGTTTAACTCTAAGCTCGTCTTTTATCGTGATAAGCACTTCAGAAAATCCAACAATCTTCTTCGGCCTCCCAAGAACAGAACAAACAAAATCATCTTCTTCGGGCAACGGCTTGCTGTTTAGTTCTTTCTTGTACGCCTTCTTCATCGTCTTCACGGACCGTGCGAATAACCGAACGCCTTCTTCTAGGCCCTGGAGGTTAAGAGGCGTTGACCCCAATGGTTGACTTTCAAGGGATTGTGTAAGAAGGACATGATTCCAGAGGTGGGTTTCGAACGAATCTTCTAAATCACACAATGCCCGTCCGATTTGTCGATCCAATGAATGCAACCTCGGGGTTCGGTTTTTCCTGATGTCCGATTTTTCGAGGACTTGTTGCAGGGAGTTAACGGTGTTGTATGTGTCGTCCAGAATTTTTGGACCGCTTGGATTATTTGGATGAACAGAGGACTGTGAAGCGATTTGAAGGCTGTGTATTGTGCGCTTAAGAGAAATTGCAGCAGCATAAGCCATTCTTTGCTTCAGTTGACTTTTTAGCTCAAGCAAATGAAATGAAAGTCAACGCAGGATGAATTTTGCTGTTTTCATAACTGTCAGAAATGAGTCGAACGGGCTTCCGGACACCAAGTCAACTGCAAAATTAAATAGTACATTTTTTCTATAAATTGTTTATAGCGTGGGCACAAGTCCAACTTTTTTTGGAGAAACAACTCACAAGATTTAAAGGAGTTGTACATAGATTGGGCCTCTTGTACTTGAAATGATGTGAGAGTAGTAGTTACGTTTTGGTCTCTGCTAAAATATTTGTAAATGCACCTAACTTTTGGTANTTACCGTATCTATATATATATAATTGCTAGCAAGCGTTAATAAATTTTATTCAGCCAGCATTGAATAATAATATGAGTTCATTTACTAAAATAGGTGTTCATTTAATTCACCATTTAATAATAATATGTAACTTTCAGTTACAAAATTTATGATAGATCACATTTTTTATGGTGCTCATTTCTGTGACGTCTTTTCATGTCCTGAAATACAAAATATATATTTTTTTATATTGATACTATATATTTTTTTGTGATCATATAAATATATATTTCACAATTAATTAAGAATAACTACATATATCTCCATTTTCTGTTGTTGTCATACAATAATAAAAAATATATATATTGGGATATTACAAAGATACATCAAATATTTTGAAAAATCAAATTCAGAATCACGAGTCGAAGAGGCTTAACGATAATGATTTGTTGTGATGGGGAAAACCACGATTGTTGCATATAAAGAACGTTTAATAATATCTAGATTCTTTTTTTTTTTTTTATGTATGATTTTTATTTTATTATGTATTTTTAATTACTTTTTCTTTTATTAGATCGCTTTTCGTGCAAATGCACGTGATAAAACTAGTTACTATTGAGTAGGAACTTGTTAGAGCATCCACAATGTTTTGGGTCTCTTAACAAAAAATCACATGCCATGTAGGAAATAGACTTAGTCTATAAAAAAATGTCTCCCAATGCAATTAAAAGTAGACATGGTCTAACTTATGTGCCAATAAAAAAAGAGACCAAGTCCACACATGGGTCTATTTTGGACCCAAGTACAAATCCAAACACTCATCGTTTATTCCTAATTTAATATTTCTTTTAATAAAGGAAACATATTAGAGCATTTTTATTGGTTGACATGTATGCTAGACTTAGTATTTTATTTTTGCATTGAATAACTTTTGAGTTATTTTACTTGGGTTGTCCATGTCATTTAATACTTAAGTCTATTTATATGCCACATAGGTAAAATTAGACTCAATGCATTGTAGATGCTCCTTGCTTGAAATTAGTTAATGTACCCTAAGGTACGTACTGTCTAACTTACGTTTTTCAACGTGGTTTAATAAGAGTTCATTTACCATTAACAACATATGTTTCATTTAAGTTTGTTTTGCTCAAGAGACATTTTATTTGGAATAGAATTGAAAATTTGTACATAATTTCAAATTCAAAAATCCTAGAGTACCACTCAAAGTCTCAAACAAATACTCTTTTTAGTATTATTTTTAATTAAAATTCTCAAAAGTCTTAAGCTTAAGATTTTTTTAAATTTAAAATTAATAAACTTTAAAACTTTTTAAAATCTCAAATAGGTACCTTCATATTTAAAAAAAAAAAGTTGAGCAAATCCAAATTGTATATACCAAATTTTTAAATAAATTTAGAGGTCTTTAAGAATGCACAATAAATCTCAAATTTGATTTTTTTTTGAAAAAATATATCACTCAAAATATCAAACTCGAATACAAAAATATTTTTGGAAAAAAAAAAATATAAAAATATTTAGATTCTTCAAAATACCCAGAATATCCCCACATATACAAGAAACATCCATATATCACTCCGCAAACTGCCACCAAAAACTCCATCACCGTCTCTTTGAACATTTTACGCATTTTGGCCTCTTGACGGAGCCTCCAACGTCCCTCTGCAAACAACAGTACATACAAATCTCTCTGTCTATTTTCGCCTTTTCTCTCTTGATCTGGGAATAGCGACAAAAATGCAGAGCTCAGCTATTTCATTTTCACCATCTCTTTCACTCTCGACCCGCCCCCGCAAGCTTCCTGTTCAAGGGTTCAAACCCCTTTCTGTCCCGTCCCCGGTAAGCCGCCATTTTAGCTATGGTTCCGCCGTTTTTTCACCGGCCGGAAAGAGGAGCCCGATTAGCTGCTCCCTGAAGCAGAGCGGGTGGTTTCCCGGGATTCCAGAGCCCGAATCTGATCGGGTTGTGCCTCGGGCCTCGTCGGAGACCGTGGGTCCGGAGGAGAGCCCGAAATCAAAGGGCATGAGGGATACTTTGGTGCTCGGGTCGCTTTTCGGGCTTTGGTACCTGTTTAATATCTACTTTAATATTTACAACAAGCAGGTAGATTTTTCCTTATTCTTTTTTTTTTTTTTTTTTACGGTGATCGAATGGGTTTTTTTTTGTTTTTTGTTATTTGCTCAAGTGTTGATTTAATTAGATGTATATTCATATCTTGTTTATTTCTGTAGATGTAAATAACTATGCTTTTTTTTCAATGATTTGTAGGTTGGTTGTGCTTTATTACTTGAATTACTTCGTTTCTTTGAGGGAATTTAGTTCGGAGATCTGATACAAAAAGTTGTATTATGTCAATGATTTGCTTCTTGTCTTTTATTTTTTGCAGGGAATGTTTTAATGTTTTTTAAGATTTTCACATATCTAAACTTTTTTGGATCTTTGTATGATCTCAAGCATTTAGAATGTGCTATTTGAACGAAAGATGCTGATTCAAGGTTCCTTTAGGCTTTAGTCCTATGTTTATAGTGGCGTTGCTTTCAAATTTTGTTTAATTGATATATAGATTTGTTTGTGAATTAAGAAGAAATGAAAAAAGAAAGAACAAGTATAGGTTTATGACGATTTAGGTAAAGTTTCTCACTAGCTTGTATGTACCATTAAACCAAAGTTAATCAACTAATTCTCATAAAATAAAAGAATACTGTGAGAGTGAGACACTGTATGTTTAAGTGCCCATTTCAGATTTAATAATTTTTCATTTACTTGTTAACAATGTGTTTGGTATAACATCCCATGAGCATTGATATATGACTTTTCTTTTGTGCACAATAGGTTCTGAAGGCTTTTCACTACCCAATGACTGTCACTCTTGTCCAATTTGCTGTCGGTAGTGTGCTTGTGACTCTAATGTGGACATTAAACCTCTACAAACGTCCTAAAATCAGTGGAGCACAGGTACTCAGTTACTTAGGATGTGTTAAAAAGTTTGACTCATTTGGTTTATTTATCATGCGAATTGAATATAGTATTTCAATCATTTTTGGCAGCTTGTTGCTATTCTTCCATTGGCATTGGTGCATACCTTAGGCAACCTCTTCACAAACATGAGTCTTGGGAAAGTTGCTGTTTCGTTCACTCACACAATTAAAGCTATGGAGCCCTTCTTTTCAGTTGTTCTATCTGCCATGTTTCTCGGGGAGGTGAATAATCCACGTGCTTTCTTGTCTTTTGGTTTTGTTAGCTTGCAGTGTAGAATAATTGTAGGGAGCTTCAAAAGTTTATAACTTTCTGATATTGAATAGTTTCATTTGAATTGTAGGGAGCTTCAAATGTTTATAACTTTCTGATATTGAATAAATTCATTTGAATTGTAGGGAGCTTCAAAAGTTTATAACTTTCTGATATTGAATAATTTCATTTGAAGTTGGTTCGTACATCCTTTTCTTTTCTTTTGCTAAAAAAATGCTTCTGAGTCAAATTTGTTATTGAAACTGCTATCTTTGTTTGATTTAACTAGTGTGTACCCCGTGCGATGCACGGGAACAATATTAAATTAATAATATTATAAATAGACCTCGAGTTTGAGTCACTCAATGGCGGAAGTGGAAACTACTATTGATCCTATTTAAAAAGAGGAAGAAAAAATAATAATTATAAATTAAAGAGGAGGATAAACAATACTTAATAATTATAAATTAAAGATTCCGGGTCAAACAATGTAAAATTATTATATATAAGAGAATATAAAAAAAATTTGATTACACACTATTTCAAAATTATTATTATACTTTTTTGTATGATTAGCTTATAATATTTGTAAAAATATTAGTAATTAGACCGATGAAAATTAGCTTCTTAAAGTAGTTAATGGATTTCTAGTAGTAATTATGAATTTGTTTCTATTTTATTGTATTTTTTTCTTTTTAAAGATAATGGATTTCTAATAGTAATTATGAATTGGTTTCTATTTTATTTTATTTTTTCAAATCTGTATAGATAAGGGATGAGATTTTTTAAACACGTGAGACGTATGCAATGGGATTTTGTAACAACAAAAGAGATAAGCTCGTGTAGATTTATACTAAAAATAGAAAAAAGAAAAACAAATATTTATTGTCAAACAACGGTTTTGATAAACTAAAGAATAGGAAAAAGAGAAACAAATATTTACACAATTAATGAGCCAATTTATTTGCCTATTCAGATTTGTCCAACAATTACTATATATAGGATATATTTAATGATTTTGGCGGGAAAATATTTCTAAATTTGTAAAAAGGTTATTCTTTTTATATAATGATAGATTAATTTTCATGTATATATTTTAGCGATGATATAATTTTTGGCATGTTCTGTTATAAAGCTGCCTATGTTGCAATGGAACTATTATCTTGTGAAAATTATTATATTTTGGGTTTGAATTAAGAAAAATGCCATTGATTTTTAGTCTAGTTTCATAGTATCCAACAATCTTTCCTATTACGGGAAACTCCTTGTATTCATTTTATTGTCTACCAATTCGAACAGGGTGGTGGGTGGTCTTTGGTAAGAAGATAGAATAGGTGTTGCTTGTGTTTTTATTTTTTAAGATACTCTGTTTTCATTGTAACTTGGCCAAACACAATGGGTGGTTTTTCCTACAAATGAAGTTAACTTTATGTGCCTACTCTGGAAATTATTTATTTGTTTTCCTTGAATCAATATCCCTCTTGGGTGCAGTTTCCTACATTATGGGTAGTTTCTTCTCTTTTGCCAATTGTTGGTGGAGTAGCTTTGGCATCAATGACTGAGGCCTCTTTCAATTGGTAAAGAACCACTTGCTGCTATTTTAAATTGTTTGCCAACAGGTTCTCATTTCAATATTACCTCGTGGAATTTGTATGATATTTTTTATTTAAAGGGCTGGTTTTTGGAGTGCTATGGCATCAAATTTGACAAATCAATCGCGAAATGTCCTTAGCAAAAAGTTCATGGTCAAGAAAGAGGTAAATTTATTTTTTTTCCAACTGGTTTTTATCTTTGCTGATTTTGGAGAATATCGTGTTTTGTTGAAAATTTGTGAACCTTACGATTTAATCAATTGTCGTGGGAGAGAAGGAAATAGTCAGCATAATTTTATTTTAGTTTCTTTTAGAAATTTGTGCTTCAATTTCAAAAATTCTTTGCGTACAGGAGTCACTGGACAACATTACTCTCTTCTCCATAATTACTATCATGTCTTTCTTCCTAATGGCCCCTACTGCCATTTTCATGGAAGGCATCAAGTTTACACCCTCATATCTTCAGGCTGCTGTAAGTGCCTTAAAAACTGTTTTCCATTTGTTACCTTGACAAAAATGTAATGTAACTTTTCATTTTATTTTGCCTATATCCAGGGAGTGAATGTCAACCAGCTTTACACAAGATCACTCCTAGCTGCCCTCTGTTTCCATGCATATCAGCAGGTAAGCATTCAAATTTAGCTCTTGTTGTATAAAGTTACTTTCATATATTTTCTTGTTGATATATTCTCCTTTCAGAAGGATTTTGCATTAGCATTTGTTATGATTTTATTTTTCATGACAGAAATAGTATTTTATTGTTGAACATGAATAACCGGACGTATGTAAATATTTTCATGTTCTGTTTAAATGGCCATACATTCGTGAACATAGCTTTGAACACATGTAACCAGATGTATGCATATATTTCCATTTTCTATTTTGCCAACAATGATTTCTGATCCGAGCTGTTTGGATAGGTCTCTTACATGATATTGCAGCGTGTATCCCCTGTTACTCACTCTGTTGGGAACTGTGTTAAGCGGGTAGTGGTGATTGTCACGTCTGTTCTCTTCTTCCGAACACCCGTTTCGCCTATCAACTCTTTAGGTATAACATTTTTTTTCTCTCTATTATTTATTTGTCTATTTTTGAATTTATTTAGTTCGGCTAAATTTCTGTATTAACTACTAAAACATACTTGAGGTTTAGTCTAAACTACATAGAAACAACTAAAACCTATTTTTCAAAGTTCACATTGACATACCCCTTGATATTTGTTTCCATTTTCAGAAAAATACGTTCTCTTTCTGTTGACAAACGTAAGTTTTCAGATGCTGTTTTCTAATTTGTATAAGGGCGTATATATTATTTCGAAAACTATTAAAAGATTATCTTTTATACTCTGCCGAACTTCAAGGCTGCTCGAGAAAAAGTTGTGAGAAAGTTACATTGGGAATCACAAGGATTAAATCTCAATTCAATTGAACTCCTTTGGTGCAGGCACCGGAATAGCCCTTGCTGGAGTATTCTTGTACTCGAGAGTGAAGCGAATCAAGCCAAAGCCTAAGACTGCTTAAGAGTTGTGATTTCGAAGACAATTTTGCTGATGATTCTTATTTCTTATGTTAGACTAGAAAATGGTTGTGAACTTGTTGTATGCTAAGTCAGGATGAAATTTTTTCTTGGTTGTCAGTTCCTTTATGTAGTGTGCGCCTTTTTCCCTTTCGCTAATATATTTTAGATTCAAAATGTGACGGGTCAGATTATGATCATTTTTGGTTGTAGGCAATTGTTCACTTGTTAAACGAACTTGCGTAGGTTATATTTTGCCTTCACTTATGACAGGCAAAAATGCATATTTTATCGTTCAGTTGAACTCGAAATTACAACCGGTAATTGTAATTTTTTTGGGAATAGTTATGTTACAAAATTCCATAAAACCAGAGCTTTTGGAGAAATTAAAAGAAAATGTTGGATATCAATTCAAGCATGATAAGTTGAAGCACATCTAGATTTTGAACCAAACAAGATAACTATGTACAGTAAACTATTTATGCAAAGTAGCATGTTAATGTAACTCAGACCTGAGCTTAAAAGTGAGAGGGTGACATTGCAAATCATGCAAAAAGCTAGAATTTATTTATTTCAACACAATGAGGGAGAAATGTACCCAGCCTCCAAACATCACCTATTACACTGAAACTATATAATAAGCTAGCATTTATTTTACTTTTAGGCGAACAATATCCGTTTAAGACATTGCTCCACGGGTTTTGTAGTAACAACTAACAAAATATGAAACACCACAAATATCCAATTAGGAATACAAAAATGTGCACCCTTCGATAAATCCAAAAGCTGTAGCTTACATTTTCCCATCAAACGAGTCAATCTCTTCCATCACATCACATTCCATCAACAGCGGCATATCGAAAGGCAACTCAACATCGCAACATTTGTGTTCATCAATCTCAGATGGGCCACCGATCCGTATATCTTCCATCAATGACTCCATGTTATTTTCTCTGAACAAGTGATAATCGCTAAAAGAGAACTCAGGGACATCAGCAAAGCCGTATTCTGACACTGTTTGATCATTTGGCTGAAACTCCAGTTCTGAATTCTTACCAACTGAAGTGTTGTTACTGAGGATTTCAGGCTCGATGGTTTTCGGAGTCTGTGTAATTTTTGGTAAGCTGCTGCTTTTCTTCTCAAAGTTGAGACTCTTGATATAATTCTGAAGAAGGGAACTAGGCTTAGGCCATTTGGTCCGGCAACTTCGCCTTGAGAATTGCCTTCTTTTTGTAGCATTCCAGTGGTTTTTTATGGAGTTCTCGGTTCTTCCAGGGAGACTTTTCGCAATTTCGGCCCATTTGTTCCCAACTTGTGCATGGATCTCGATCAAGATTCTATCTTCATCCTCAGTCCATAAATCCTTCTGAATGAAAGATATGTTTGTATAAATAAAATAGGGGAAAAAAAAAACGGAAAACTTAGACTTTATTGGATTTTTTTAGGTCTTTAATCAGAATATTCAGATAGAACAAATCAGAAACGAGAATCACATTTATTAGTTGGATATTGCGCTTGAAACTCTACATATGTAATAATATTAAGATAAAGTTGATTCATGAAACTCAGCAAACTAGTACACAAATGCTAAATAAGAAATAAATAAAATCACGCATGACTCGTGTTAGTTCTATAAATTAAGTTGATTTCAAAAAATCCCGCAACACAAAACTTTGAGGCTGCATGCATCTTCCCATTCATGCCAGATGTTCCATATCTTCGAAATATAGTATCAAATCAACATACCGAGTTAATGATATTTGAAACCACATTTTCTTGCTTGAAAATATGTGGAAACTAGATTTTAGTTCTTGAAACCAAAAACTACCATTCTTCCCTCTAATGATATGTTTAGAGAAAAATAAAGAAAGAACAAATAAAAACACAATTTCGTCATTCCACGAACAGAAAAAGATTGTAACGTTTGATATTCAAAATTGCTAATTCAGAAAAATTCAAAGCTAAACCTTAATATCAGGTCTCAGATGGTTATGCCATCGCTCTCTGCACTGTTTGCCTATCCTTCCCTTCAGCATTAGTGCAATAGTAGACCATTTTCTCTCACCATGTTTTCCCACCAGATGGGTCAAGAGTCTGCAATTAATTAACATACACTTCCAGTTAATCTCAAGCATATAATATCAGCAAAACAGTTAATATCTCAAGCATATCAGGGGAAAAAAAAAATCATCCCAATTTTTTTCCTTCTCACCTGTCCTCATCAATAGTCCACTGGCCTTTAGTCGACCTGTACTTCTGTCCCTTAATGCAAGCTTTAGGAGACGGCAATTCTCTAACCTTGCTCTTCCTGCACTGCATAACATTGTTGCTTCTTTTACTGCCACCTTGTTTGGGGAAACCAAGGTTATCGGCAGTCAGACAAGAGCTCTCGTCAGGGACAACAAAGTTGAAAGGCTTAGGGTCAGGGTACGTCAATGTTGTTTCGATGTCCATTAATGGATCTTTCCTGTCTGAAAAGTTCAAACACCCACCAACTTCCAAATCTTGCATGGCTGAACGAATGCTATCATGTTCGCATAAATCAAAATCGACAAAAGAGCCACTAAGAAAGGGATCAACAGGATAAAAACAATCCTCACGAATCCCAAAATCTTGATTAACAGATGAAGCTGCCAAGGGGTACTGGTCGAGATTATGGTAATCGTGAAAGAAACCTTTTGATATCGAAAGAGTATCGATGTGGAAGTCATCATCCAGTATCTCTGGTTTCAAGCTAATGTTGGGAAAGCAAATGGCCGGGGTAGGGTCATTGTCATCATTTGCAGATTTTGTTCCAGACTCCATTGGGAGTAGTTGAGGGAACAGAAAAGAAAAAAGGTGGCAAGATGACAGGAGCTTTCAGCGGTGAAAATCTTTGTTGGAGTCTTTCTTTTCAGTTTTGAGTTTGCAATTTATTGAGCAAGTAATAAAGGCATTCAATGTGTTGAAAATTGTTTGTGGACCATTGATTCGAGAGTTAATCTAACGGATCTCGAGATCCTTGATGTGCTTGTCCATGTACCAATACGAAAGCAAATAGCTATGAACTACTATATCACCAATATACCAGTTGTATGTAATACAACAGAAAAATATTATATAAATTTGTCCATTAATTTCTATATTGTGAATCCAATGGAAGCACAAACATGCTGATAAATCAGAATTAAATTTTGTAACAGTAACACTAATTTTATATCTTTGGTCATCTCACTGAGGTGCATTAATTCCAGACTTACAATTGCTATTCAAGTGCATATTAATGGCAAAAATTGAAGTACATGTTGAATTAAGTCACTAAGACTTGTTGATTCTACCATATGTTGTTATCTTTCAACAAGGCATGACAAAGATTGGTCAGAAATTATAGAAAACATATCCATGTTCGACATTGAGAAACAAAAATATGAATGAAAAGGACTGGTCAAAAAACTAATAATAATAATAATAAACAAATATACAACTATCTTACATTACAAATACATCCTCTATATATGCTTTATTTCCACAATTTTTCATATAAAAATGGGAGTATTTTGCAAAGCGACTACAAATCCCAAGGGGAAGTTTACAGTACCTTAAATTCCAATACACCACTAGAAAGCAAAGACAACCACCAACCATATTAAAATATTCATGCCCAAAAAGCACATTTTTCAGGTAGGATCTCAATAACAAGAAGACAAGCAAGAGTACTTTAAATTCCAATACACCACTAGAAAGCAAAGACAAATATCAACCAAATAAAATTATTCATGCTCAAAAAGCACATTTTTCAGGAAGGATCTCAATAACAACAAGAGGAGCAACAGTACCTTAAATTCCAATACACCACTAGAAATCAAAGACAAACACTAACCAAATTAAAATATTCATGCCCAAGAAGCACATTTTTCACGTAGGATCTCAATAACAACAAGACGAGCAAGACAAATAAACATAGAAACAAGCAGAAACAACACAATAACTGCACACATCGCCACACGTCCCAAAGTTTTAAAGATACATAACCTTTCACCAGAAGCCCGCCACATGTCATGGAACTCTTGGTTTGCTGTCCCAAGCCTCTCTCGCCTCCAGAAGATGAGGGCAGTATCTCCGCGCCAAGACTTCTACCTGCTCGGCAAACGGCTTATGCCCATTCCGCCCCAAATGCAAAGCCATCTGATTCCAACGCTTTCGGCACACATTCCCATCCCTGCCCTCAACAACACCATCCCAGTCCACATCCTCCACGCACGTCGCGTCCAGGCTATAAAGCCCACCAATCAGGCGGTAGTCGTCTGAGTCGGCCCACACGCCCTGGGACACCATGGACGAGGTCAGCTGGTTGTACCACTTATTACAGCAATGGTCCTGAGAGCGGGTTGACAGCTCGTCACTAATTTCCATCCAGCAGATACTGTCACGCAGCATCCCGCACTTGGACTTCTTCACTTTCCAAAGCTTCGCCTGCAGGTCAATGTTCACGAGGTCAAACAGTTTCTGGTACTCGTCCTGAGACCAGTGCCCTTTCTTGCGGTTGACCAATCTTATCCTCAGCCAGGTGTTACACACATGTCTCTTGTGCTTGCCGAGCTTGTCAGCCAGCTTCTTCCATTGGCTACCGTGCTCCTCATAGAACTTGAGGACCTCCTCGTACTCTTCCTCAGTCCATTTGCGATTCTCAGACCTGTAGAATAGAACATGGGTACGCTCGTAGATGGCAATGGTGGGTCTGTATGGTATGGAAGACCCGATTTCCTTCCAACAGCCCCTCACCTTGGGGTGCTTTCTACAGTTGAGGACCATGTCCAGGCCTTCGTCACCTAAGTTGTGACTCAGTATATAGTCGTTAACAGCAGCTTTGAGGATCTCGTCCTCTTCAGGCGTGAAGCGCTTACCTCTAACTAGATTATCTCCCTCCACAGTCCCTTTCGCTGGATTTGGATTGACTGGAGAGGGGAAAACCTCAAAGTGATTAGAGAACCTCACTTTTTTCTTACTTTTTCTGGGTGTAGCATCGCTTGACTCATTCTCCACTGGTTTGGTCATTTTCATTTTTCCTTTTTTCTCATGTGCAGCACCATTATCTCTTAATCCTCAGAACCCTCTTCCATTACTTCAGTGTGTTTCTTCTTCTTCCTCTTCTTTTTGGTTGTGTGTTCTACCTCATTACTTTGCATCTCATCCGTACGCATATGACCATTGCTGTCAGTTTCTGCATTATATTGCTGAGCGGCAGATGAATAGTCCTTCAAATGTTCTTTCTTTTTCTTCGTTCTTTCCTTCTTTCTCTCAAGTTCTTTTGCAGCATAGCCATCATGTTTGTTCGACTCAATTTTGCCTTCAACATTATCTGGCACGCATTCTTGTTGCACAGAAGGAAAATCGCCCTCGTCTTTCATAACTTCACCAGAAGTTCCACGCGACCGATTGTCATCTTTGATGTCCTCTTTTTCCTTTTTCCTTTTCTTCCTTTCGACCTTCCCTGTATCATCAGCTTCCGAATTCTGTTTATGTTGCCCAGACTCTTTTATATGTTTCTCTCCCACCCGCTCAAAATCTACTTCATCATGTTTTCTTTTTGATTTCTTCTTCTTCTTCTTCCTCTCCTTGTTATTATCTTGAGTATTCTTTTGTTCGGAATTACTTTCTCCATCTAGCCTTTGCTCAACCTCATTCTGCTGAACTTCTTTAGCATTGTTCATCTCGGTCCTATTCAACTCCCGGTTCTTGTTCTCGCATTTCTTCCTTTTCTTTGCAAGATTCATCCCATCTCCACTGCCAGCCTCACCATGGTCCACATGTAGTTCCCTTTTTTCCAAACCTTCATTGATGTAAGCCTCAGCAACTTCACCCCCCTTAGTTTTCTTCTTCTTCGTTACCTTTTTCTGATTCCTAGGCTCTCCAAACATATCGTCTTTCCCAGATAATGAAACCTGAACTTGTTCAATCGGCTCTACAGCACTAGAATTCTGAGTATCTTGTGTTCCCATGAGTCTTTCTTTGTTCTTATCAGGATTCTCTTTCTTTGGCTTAATTCTCCTTTCTATATCTCTGGGCACATATCTCTTAACTCATTTCTTCAGCTATAGATTAAA